AAATTTCACGATACCGACTTTTGTCATTCATTGTACAGGACTGGTAAATCTAATTAATTAATGATATGACCTCTGGTTTAATGTGTTGTGTATTGAAACAAGGCTAGAACTTCACTCTTGTGATAAAAACATACAAGTACTGTACCTAGATATTCTGTAGGGCCTTTTGTCCTTGATAGTTCAAAGAAGTAATGATTATAGCTGTTGAAGACTTCCATTGTTCCCCAATCAATTTGAAATGGTAATTACAATCTTACATCATTGTAAAGTTTGGGCCAAACAAAGGTCAGAGGCCCTTTCATGTTCAAAATTTTTTATTGTAATTATAAGGAATCTTATTTCCATCATTACAGACCCAAGGATCACTGCAACTGCTCACATGTTTGCACCACAAGAAAGAACTTGTTTTTGACATTGATATGACAGATTATGATGAAGTATGTCATTAACAACAACACAGTTTTGTATCCTGGTGGAAACATTGTTCTTGACTCTCTTTTGTACAGTATATGTCCAGATCCTCACCAGTATATAAGGGATTCATTCGTCCTAACTTGGAGTACTGCTCTCATATCTGGGGTGGCTCTTCTTCTGTCCAACTATTAGATAGGGTGGAATCCAAGGCATTTCTGTCTTATTAACTCTCCTCCTATAGTCGACAATCTTCCCTTTCTCTTCGCCAATGTTGCTTCACTCTCTCTCTTTTACAGGTACTTTAACGGGCAATGTTCAGGATGGCATCCTGTGGGTTTGTAACACTTCTTGTTCGCGTGCCCACCATTTCTATGTTGATATCGGTCACACGAGAATAACCTGTATAATACTGTACCTCCTTCTTTCCTCACACAGCCAAACTGTGGAATGCTTTGCCTCTTCTGTGTTTCCATGCTCTTACAATCTGTCTCACTTTAAAAGCTGGTTTTCCGCATCTTCGTGTAGAGATTAATACAGTATAACCTTTTTTCTATATTTTCAATTTCTTTCCGTTTTTTTTTTTTTTCACCTCCAGGCTCCGTTGTGGGTCGTTTGACCTGTGCCGGGTTGGCTAATTCCGTAAAAACAAAAACAAACAAAAGAACTTGATGTGATCTGTTCAGTTTATTCATTTAAGATGGAATTCTCACAGTGGAAACGATTACATTACCATTTGCTTCCAGAGTCAAGAATAATGCAGTACAAATAGATTTTAACGTTACGTGTTTTCCTGAAGAATGTTACAGTTTATATAGACTAACCTGGGTGTTGAGGAATGCTACAAATGTCTTGCTATGGTGTCAATAATGTGAAGCAAAAGGTAAGGATTGTTATCATCATATTGCATTTCTAGTCTCTAATACTAGACCTTTGGAATAATATTACAGATCACAAGTATTCTTCATAGTTTCTGAGGTGCATGAACTGCTGTGGACCTCTCCTTAGCTAATCTTTAATGGACCACATGGAATTGGTATCAACATACTTCCTTGATGACTAAACATTTTAATGCTAACCTAACCTAATAAAATTTTATTTAACCAAACTTACCGCCATCCAGACAGTGTTGG